ACCCAGACCGCCCACCATTTTCTTTTGTAAGAATGCCTCTGGGGCCTGGGTGGAGTGAAGAGGATTTATTGAAAGTACAAGGAACACTTGAAGCTGGTGCTGTTTTATTGAAAGCTCATTTCTCATAAAGGTTTGCAACGGTCTTCCTGGCAGTTAATTCTCCAAAGAAAAATGCTCCCTCTTGGAAAGGAAGCACAGAGTTGGGGACTCCAGATTCCTTTCATATCGCCTCATTCTGATTGAAACATATAAGTCATTGATACAGTGATTTATTTATTACAGGTAGTCCTTGACCTATGAACGGCCGCTTAGTGACTGAAGTTATAATGGAGCCCCCAAAAAAGGGATTTAAGACCTGGATTCAAAGTTCCAATATCCACCTTTGCTGCACCATCCCCTTGCTCACATGATCAAATTTTGGACGAAGGGGTCTGTATTTTTGGCTGTTTGCAGCATCCCTTGGTCATGGGACCGCGGTTTCCAACATTTTTGGTTTCAGGAAAAAAAAAATCCATAGCAAACAATGACTGTTCATTTAATGGTCATGGCATTTGCTTAACAACCACCATAAGAAAGGTTGTAAAATCGGTTACAGTCACGCAGTGACCGCTTTACAAACATCACAATTTATGACTGAAATTGTGGGCTCAGTTATGGACGTAAGTCAAGGGCTACCTGGAATAATTTGTGCTTCAGTCACGTCCATTCACTGAAAGAGGAAAGAAATTGTTTTTCTTTGATAAGCCATGAAACAAACTTGTTAGGTTGATCCACTCCCTGAGGAAGGCGAAGAAGACAGACAGGTCATTTTTTGGTCTTGTTCACCTGAAAACAAGGTCCTCAAACAAGCTGGGCTGGAAGGGATTGACTGAATCAATGCCTCATTGTCTGTGTTAAATAAACAAAAATTCTCTGCCTAAAAGATTCAATTTGAGCTGCAGGACACAACTCAAAACATTTTAGAAAAGCCTTTTAGAAGTCCCTCTTGGGACAAGACAGAAGGTCCTGTCTCTCCAAGGCCACTTCAGTTCAGTAAGCAACGCTGTCCTCCTTTGCCCTCAGCTTTCTGCAAATTTTTCCTCTATAATTGAAATTTTCCACGTTGGAAGCAGTGATACATTGATGATTTATAAAGAGGAATTATTTAATGGCTAAAGAGATACAAAAGAAATTTTTGTGCAAATTTTGACCATTGTTTGGGGGCCTTAAATGAATTGTGAAGGCTATTCTAACCTAAGAAATGCAATTCTGAACGATGACAGTAGAAAAATCTGTAATATTGCAAAGCAAAACTCTGCAAGACACATGCTCTTCTAAAAGTTTTTCCTGTACAATTGTCCTGCCTTTTTCAATGGACTGGGTCAAGAATAGAGACCTCAGGAGCTGGGTTTTCATAAAAATAAATTGTGGTTGACTCCTTTGTAGCTCTGCAAGCCAGCAGATATGGTTATGCTCAGCATTTTAAACAAAGCCAGGATTGAATATACTATAGATGGGAATTTGGTGTGAAATACAATCATGGTCTTTTATCAGTAACTGTCCAACTTTTTCTTATTTGATGAGAGCCTATCTCATCATCAGATAAGCGGTCCCAATTTTGAAGGGTTTTTATCATAGGGAACGATTTCTTCATATATATCAGAATTTGTGTTCATGCCACTTAAAGCCAACTAACCCCGTTTCCTGGCTTCACACAATCTACTGAACTGTGACCTAATCACAGAAGGACAGTGTGCAGTTGCCAATGTTGAGAAGCACTACGTTAAAAATTCTACCATTTTTTTTTTAAGTACAGCTACAAATTTTAGGACAACTGCATGTAAACCAAGCAACAAGGCAAGAAAATTGAGGCCCTCAAGATAACATGGACTTCAGTTCCCATAATTCCCAACAAACATTTCCATTTCTGAGAATTCTGGGAGTTAGAAGGCGCCCCACATGGAAGTTTCTAGGTTGGGAAAGGCTATGCAATATGACAATACCCAACATCTCTTTCTTGTTTGTAACCCTGCTTAGATCAAAAGGATTGACCTAAGCCTTTTTTAGGTTTCTCAGCTCTGATTGAATCTATAATGGCAGTGTAATTTATGTGTTTAATCTGTCCTACAGAACTGTCCCCAGTCTTTCTATGGAAGGTGTGTTATCCTGTCTCCTCCACCATAAAGAGATGGGAGGACAGATTTATAGCTATGCCTCCCTGGAAGTAGGATACTTAAAAGCAGTTTTTTTCAGGTAAAAAATCCAGTATAGTGTAATGTGGATTAGAAGTGTTGGATGAGAAATGGGGAAATCCAGGTTCAGATCCTTCTGCTGCAGTAAAAATTGATCATGCGACTTTGAGCCAATCACTCTCAAAGCAACCCACCCCTAAGTTTATTGAGATTAAAGAGAGATTCCTGAAGGTTGTACAATCGAATAAAAGGTTGGAAATGAAAGCCAGATGGGTAACTCTGGTAGTCTTTCTTAGCCCAATTCATCTCAGTGTTATTGTGAGAAAAATGGGAGGAGGAAGGAGTATTAACTACGTTCAATACCTTGAGTTGGTTTATAAAAAAAATAATAAAGGTGGGATATAAATAAATAAATTTAACACACAAAAAGAAACTGGCAATGTTAAAATCCACAAAGCATCTCTTCATCATCTGATATTGGATGCGTCCAAGAACACCCCACTCCATCCAAGAAAATTTAGCCAAAATTCTATTCTCCCTTGCAATATATTTCTATGCAATATATTTCTAAAGCTAATTCTTTTGCACCACTGGGGGGAAAAATGGAATTTCTCTGCCTCGTTCTTAGGCTGCCCTCTGCTGTCAATCCATTGGAAACAATGTGGTTCTAGATTTCTTAGCCCAGCTTCCATAAGGAATGTCTCCTTTGCAGCAGTAGGTAGAAGATCCAAGACACCTAGTATACCTGGACATCCTTTCAGTCAAACTTCTCCAAGGAGTTTGTTGGCATTTTGTAACCAAGATGAAGCACACTCAGCATCTGAGGATGTTCTCTTCTTGCTTCAGCAAACCATTTTCTTGGTATCAACTTTCTTCCTAACTTTGAATGCTTTCTCCACCACTAATGCTTGTTTCAAATTGTCTTTTAAAAGGGAAAAGTAGAAATTAGTCTCAGCCCAAGTGCTTTCTCATCTAAAAACTAGTAGGGTTGGAGAAGCCAAAACTTGTAAGGTTAGATTTGGCCTGTCTACCAGCGGGTCATTACATGAACATAAACATGGAGAGGAAACCTGTATCCAGATCTGATTAATATTGCCCTCTAGAATTCCTCAACATCAATATGACCATGGGTTGTACAAATTGTATTTAGTATGTCTTCACTTTGGATTTTCCAAAGTCCAAACACACCTTAATATTCCATAATTGAATTAAAACTCATTTATGATCTGCTACCATCCTTAATTGCATTTTTATTAGATCTGCTCCCATCAGAGGTTTCTCATCAACTTAACAGAATGCTATGATTAACTCTCTTTCTGCATCTTCAGAGAACTACTTAACTGCTTCCTGACATAGAATATTTTCCAAGCAAGAAAACATAATTAAAATATAACATTATTCATAAATATTGCAATGACAAGTTGATGATACTGATTATTTATAAACAATTAGTTTATAAATATATAAGGCATTATATTATTATAAATAATAGTATAAAGCATTCCTGAAATAAAGCAAAACTAAAACAAAGCAAAATAAATCTGTTGTAGATACAAACCCTTTTGCTAAATTTGATAATTTATTTATTAAATTTATATGCTCGCTAGTCCAGCGCCAGTAAATTATTATTCCATCCCCAAGCCAAGTAGCTAATTTTCTAGCCAGTTGGTTATTTTTTATACTGTATCCCTCATTTGTCAGTCTTATGAACATGTCCAAGGAAACCTGAGATAGATCAAGTAACCATTCATTTACGGAAAAAAAAGTGTCATTTCATTCACTTCCCCATTCCAAGGAATTTCTGGCACATGGTGGCTATAATAAAATACATCATCATAAAATACATCAAATTAAAGCACTGGAGTAATCGTAAGAGAGTAGAGAAGACCTCATTCTACGACTGATGTTGAAACGTTGATCTAAGAAATATATGCTCCAGGTGTTCTTCTATTATACAATGTGCCAGAATTTAAGCAGATGTAAAGTATCTCTTTTTCAATCGCAGCATCTTACAATTCCTATGACTGTCTGTAGGAGAGAGTAGCTGGTAATTAACCATTGTATAATACTATGTCCTCCTAAAGAAAAAGCAAGTTACTCAGGTCACTGAAAATGCAATTTCAAGTATACAAATTCATTTTAAACAGACACACTTGTATATATTAGTCTTGTGCAGAAATACTAAAATTTACTCCTATGCTAATTGATCAGTTGTGATCACTCTAGAACAGTGATGGCGAACCTTTTAGAGACCGAGTGCCCAAACTGCAACCCAAACCCCACTTATTTATTGCCGGGTGCCAGGTGGATGTGGCCCACTGGGTGGGCGTGGCTGTGGTGGTCATGGCAGATTGGATGGGTGTGGCCAAGATGGGCGTGGTCACCTCAATGTTGCTCATGGGGAAGGATGCCCGTGGGGGGTGGGCAGGGTTGGGAGAAATCCAGGGGGTCTCTGGCAGGTGGGGCAGGAGGCAGGTCCTGCGGGGTGAGGCGAGGCAGGGTGGGGATGCCATTGCCATGTGGCAAGGCAAGGGGCGCCTACTGCCTGACACCATTGGCCCCCACACACAGAAGCCAGCGAGTGCATGAGGGCCGACAGTGCCCATCAACAGCCACAGCCTGCCAGCCCCTCAACCAGCGCACTCTGTGGCTCTGCAGCCCACCACCAGCAGTTCAAAGAAGCCGCCTCTGAGGTGGATGGCCGGCCAACAGCTGAGGCGATGCAGTGGGTCATGCCTGGGAAAAGGAGAGCATGCGAGGCCAGGAGGGACGGGATGGGGGGGAGGGAAACCAGCCGTGCTGGGATGCATCTGGCCACGTGGGACCTCGGCGAGTTAGCAGGCGGCTGGTTGAAGAGATAGTTGCCATCTCTGGGGTATGGCACGTGTGCCCACAGAGAGGGCTCTGACTGCCACCTCTACCAAACGTGCCATAGGTTCACCACCACTGCTGTAGAAACTGGACCCCCAAAAAGGAATTATGGGCAGCTTTCCAGAGCTATTTAGAAATAAATTCATTCTTTTGTTTATGTACTCATTTTCTAGAGGGCTAACTACATTCCTAATTCTCCCTTTGAGATGTACATTTTTCATATGAATTGTCTTTCACTGATGTTGATGGACATGGGTTCAACTTGCTGGGTTAATTCAGGGAGTGTGAATGGGGCCTTCCCAGTTACTGTGAGTCTTCATTTCCATTGAGAGGGATCTGCTACTCCTTCTCATGTAAACCAGAAGGTAGGCAGTTTCACCCCTGCAAAACATGAAAGAAATAGTGAATGATGGGAAAGCAGATCAATTGATAACACAAGAATTACTCCTTCAAACATCTTTCAGGGAAGTACATAGAATCTTTTGCCCGGAATTCAGACAATTTAACTTGTTTCTAACTGACACAAGGAACTTGGTGTCCTCCAAATGTCTCATAATCAATAGGAAAGGACAATACAGATAGTCCTCAATTTATAACCATTCATTTAGTGGCCAAAGCTACAATAACATTGAAAAAAGTGACTTATGACCAGTTTTTATTCTTACAACAATTGCAGTTTCCCCATAGTCACATGATCAAATTCAGAGCTTGGCAATTGGTTCATATTTATCCTGCTTGCAATGTCCCAGGGTCATGTGATCACATTTTCAGACCTTCTGACAAACAGAGTCAATGGGAAAACCAAATTCACTTAACAACTGTGTTCCTAACTTAACAACCGCAGTGATTCACTTAACAACTGTGGCAAGAAAGGTCATAAAATGGAGCAAACTCACTGAAGACCTTTCTTAGCAATGGAAATTTTGGGCTCAACTGCAGTCATAAGTCAAGGACTACCTGTATATTGTACTGATCTAAATTTGTTCTCCATACAGTCAACTATATTCGGTGGTTTCCACCTTCTCCTGCCTCTGAACTACTATTTCAGATGGATTAGAATAAAACCTTTCTTACCAACAGAGAGATTGTCTTCCATAAGTAGATTTGATATCATCCCAGAATACCTGCAGAATATAAAGCACAAGCGTCCACATTCAAGGATATTTTTCAAAACATGTTTCACCTATTGAATGGAAAGTCATGGTTTATTTTAATTGTTGTTTGTGAAACAACATAGAAGCAAATTAGTCCACAGCATAAACCAGACCTGGCATTTTACAACCCCAGGACCACATTCAGCCCTTTTTACTATGAGCACACAGGCCCACATTAAAAATGAAATTGTTGCCTGCTCTCAAAATAAAGTATATATCTACCCATACCCATAACACACACACACACACACACACACACACACACACACACACACACACACGTATATATATATATATATGTATATGTCATGGTTCCGACAGATGAATCTCTTTCAAAACTTTGAGGCCTTGTTTTCCTTAAGGAATCTTTTATTTGAGAAACAAAGTATCAGCACTACATAGCTGAAGCCAAAAACTGAATTCCCCTCCCCTGGCACAAAGTAGCAAAGAGCAATTCCTTCCTCCAATTAACTTGAAGTGTGGGCTTTCTCCCCATCTTTCTCCCCAAATTTCTAGCAATAACCTTGGGTTCCCACGGCTGAGTTATTATTGTTATAATTAGCTGGACTCTCATTCCCCCCTCCCAGCATCAACGAACTCTAAAAGCAATAGAGAAAAGATGGCTACATTTCCATCTGTTATCAAAGCAAGAGCAGCGTTGACATATATGTATGTATATGTATGTACATGTATGTATATGTATGTACATGTATATGTATATGTGTTATGTATATCTACACACACACACACAAATCACTGTCCATTTTGAATACATAGTAGAAAGAAGAAATTTGAGAGTTCACAAGTTTGATGCTATATGGAACAAAACTGTGACTGAATCTGGATGTTCTGCTTCGGATACCACAGAGCCTCCTCCCAGGATGTAACAAAGAAAATAGGTTGTGAAGAAATGTTAACATCCCAGACAATCCTGCAAACTTTGCTCAAGCATCGCTTATATGCTATGTCCTGGATAGAAGAAAGTGAACTACCAATGATCTTTTCTTCCATCCTCACCATTCTCTGCACTGCCTTCCTGTCTGAAGCAGCGATGCTTCCAAACCAGACTGTTAATACCATATAACAGGATGCTCTCGATTGTCCCTCTATAGAAAGTGGTAAGGACAGGGGAAGGAAGTTGTGCTTTTCTCATGCGACGCAGAAAATGCAGCCGCTGCTGTGCTCACTTCACCAGTGTCTCGCTGTTGAGTGACCAGGCTAGTTTGTTCATTAGCTGCATACCCAGAAACATGATGCTGCTAACCAGATGAGTCATTAATGCACAGAGCAGTGTGTCTGTGCCTGCCTTTTCTAAAATCAACAATGATCTCTTTGGTTTTTCCTACGTTTAAAACGAGGCTATTTTTGTTACACCAGTTCACCAAACCCTCTACTTCCTTGCGATAAGCAGCCTCATTATCATCTTAAATAAGGCCCACTTCTGTTGTATCATCTGCATACTTCACAATATGGTTGGTGGCAAAACTGGCACCACAGTCATCAGTCAACAAGGTGAACAACAGCGGACTTAGGACACAACCCTGAGGAGAATCTATGGCAAGCTATCCCATTCTGCCTGCAGGAGCCCCAGATTCAAGTCAAAATGTATCTAACAACATTGGAAGTGATTGTGATTCTGAAAGACTATCTCCAGGAGTGTCTGGCTTCCTCACCTTACAAACACTGGAATCGTTGAAGCAATACCACTTATATTCGGTGAGACTCCAGATATAGGCACAATAATGACCAAAGTCAGCTGATCCCGAGTGGGCAATCACCGCAAAGAGATCATACATCCCATCACGCTGGAAAGAAGTACAGAACAATACTTTGAGGAACAATGCAGATGCAACACTTTTTTCTTTTAACAGGGAATGACTATTATTGTCACATCACTCCTGGACCTTCTACTGTCAAAGGACAATTGTCCACAACATGAGTTCTTTTGTTTCAACTCTTTCCCTTAACAAGTACCATTTTTGCGCCTTGCTTTCTATAGAACAATTAGGGCATTTTACCAACAAGGCAATTGTTTATTTTAGGGGAGAGAGCAGGGAAGAATCCTGATGCAGGAAGTAGATCAGATGTTTGGGAGTTTTCATGTAGTTGCTTGGCAGAACAAGTTGGGAGCGAAGAAAAGGCATTTCCTCCACCTACATCTAATTATGCTACAAATAAGCCCTATAGTAGTGATTCTCAACTTTTTTAATGCCGCGACCCCCCAACCGGTCGTAAGTCGAGGACTAAACCGGTCATAAGTCGAGGACTACCCAACTGGTCGTAAGTCAAGGACTTTCCCTGCCCAGGAGCACCGCGCATGCGTGGTGCCACCCCCTGCGCCAGCCGAAGCGTAGCTGGCAAGCGGCAGAGACGGAGCAGGCCAACCACCGGCTGGGCCACCAGCTGGCCCAGCCCAAGGGAGGTAAGGCACCCGCCGGAAAAGGGGAAAAAAATGGTGGACAGCCTTGCTTGGCGACCTCCATGAAATGGTTGCGACCCCATTTTCCCCAAATGGGGTCGCAACCCATAGGTTGAGAACCACTGCCCTATAGTGTCTCTGTGATGTTTCCTTCACCTCATCCTGATTTTTTCTGGCTTTAAAGTAGTATTTCTCAAATAAACCATGGCTGTTTCAAGGTAGATAACATCTAATGCACTTGGTCAAGTCTTCTATTATTGTCACAGTCAAGATGATTCACAGAGCCTGATGTCTATTAGCCATTTGCTGATGGTGCTGGCATGCCCTTCTCCTTCAGTCTTGGGCTGGCTTCTTGAATACCATTTCCTTCTCCAAGGGGAAAGAACTGGCATAATAAGGCACCCTAAAACTTTTTATAAAGCCACCTCATATTAAGCATCCTGAATGGAAACCAGCTTTCATCTTCAGACTCATATAACTTTTTATACAAAGGCAAAACGTGAAAGGTGGAAATCAAACTACTTTTATAATTCAACAAAGGTCTTAAGGAAGTGGGTTTAGTCTCTCAATAATTTCTAATTTGCTGACTAGATGTAGACATCAACCAAGAACCTCTTCATGATTGGGTAGAGCCAATCAGCTTCTCTGTTTCACCTAAAACTCACCTTCATTTACCCTTTATATTCTAGAAAACTATTAGTTTAAAAAAAAAAGAAAACAAATAATGTTTTTATCTATATATCTAATTTGTACTGCTAAATCTTCAAGACTCAATGCAGTTTACATACTAATATAAAATTTCCACAGTAAATAAAAATAGCGAACAACCAGGAATACAGTATTTGGTAATAAATAAGAAATATGTAAGTAAAAATGGGGAACAGTCATTCCTCAAGATCCTCTGGAACAGCGGTCTTGAAAAATTTTCAGGCTATCATAGATCGGTCCAGTCTAGTTTCCAGAGAAAACAGGGTCTGAGACTTAGGGTTTATTCAAGGGGGAAATAGCTAATCAATTTAATTAGGCTGATTGTGTTAATTTATTTGAAATGTGATTCTCATTTTATCTTTTCCCAATATATCTCTTTCAGAGAAAGAGAGAAAGATCTAATTTCCCATAAACACTGTTCAGGCAAGCCTTCCCAACATGCAAGACTGCACAGTTACACTTTACACTGACACTGGGCTTGTTAAGATCTGCATTTCAGGGTTTGGGGGTGGGGATCCAAAGTACCTTCATATATATTTTTCTAGAACCGGGCTGAAGGAAAACATCCAGGATATATGGACTAAGGTGTCTCCAGCTGAACAGATTAGAGCAGTGGTTCTCAACCTGTGGGTCAGGACCCCATTTGGGGTCAAATGACCATTTCACGGGAGTCGTCAAACCATGCTGTCCGCCATTTTTTTCCCTTTTCCCTAGCTGTCCTACTCCCTCTTATTGGTGGCCACACCCACTTGGGGGTCACCACAACATGGGGAACTGTATTATGGGGTCACGGCATTAGAAAGGTTGAGAACCACTGGATTAGAGAATATCAGAACGCTCTGTCTGAATGGACACCTTGATAAACAATGGAAAATCCATGGAGAAAAGGCTGCGTCTTCGTCCTGGTCTGAAATACCAGTTTTGGGTAATTATATTATCCAAAGCTTTAAAGGCCATGTCTGGGGTTCAAGGACTGGCTATACCCCTCAGATCGCAATTGCTCATCCTAAATGATAGTAGCCTTAATGCCAGAGGGAATGCATGTCAATATCCTACCTTTTTAGCATCTGGATGAAACTGTTCCGGTGCCAAGATCTGGCTGAAATCTAGCTTTGGTGGGAAAGCCAAGCTATGTGTGACTTTCCTAGTTCTGTTGCCATCTTTGGAACGGAAGCGAGCAAGATGCAGCGTCAACATGCGTGGCAAATACGTTATTTTCACCGTCTGCAAAATCAGCAAAACATATTCTGTCTGAATAGACAGTCTTGATAGGCAGTGGGAGATCCCTGGGGAAAGGGCTGTGTCCTCTTCCTGGTTGAAAACACACCAGTTCTGGCCAACTGTATCTAAAGAAGGCTTTAAGGACCATAATTGGGGTTTAAGAACCAGCAAAAAATAGTCCATTGCAGCCAACATAAAGAAACTACAAAGATGGGATTTCTCTACAATTAAATACAATTTAATTGTATGTAATTGTGATACAATTAAACTTCAATTCCCAAAATTGTCAACCAGGACGGGCTAAAATCTGGGTCTAACATTAAGTAACATATACTGGAGGCTTCTTCCAAGGTGTGTTTGACAAAAGCCATGGAACTGCTTTGTGGATTTTTTCTAGCCATAAAGAGATACAATACTAGTTATCTTAGGCCAGTGTTTCTCAACCTTGTCAATTTTAAGGCATGTGGACTTCAACTCCCAGAATTCCACAGCCAGCAATGCTGGCTGTGGAATTCTGGGAGTTGAAGTCCATATGCCTTAAAATTGTCAAGGTTGAGAAACACTGTCTTAGGCAAACAAATAATTTAATCCTAAAATATAAAGGCAATGAAATTCCCAAAACAATCATCTCTCCTATCCCGCCACCTAAAACAAGCATTACCCGCAGACATGATGTTTTCTTGTCACACTTCGTACAGTAACACATATTTTCTTTAGTTAATTGCTCTGGTCTGAAAAAACTGCGTAGTGAATTTTCCTAGGAAAAGAGGAATAATGCATTGTAGAAAGCAAGGATAGATATCAGTTCCCTCCAATATATCCCATGTTTAATTCTTTCCACTTAAATTAAGGCCATAAAGCTACCATTTCCCAACCTGCAATTCTCCAGATATATTCAGCTATAGGTTGCATCATTCCAACTACCAGTGGTAAGGTTAAGAGTAATACCTCTGAAAATGCACTTTTACCACCTATTTAAAGTAATCAAGGAGCATGCTGCAGACTTCATCAGGCAAGGAATTTTGGCAGGTGGAGTCTAAGAGAAGGGTCTTTTCTACTGTGGCCCCTACCCGTTGGAATATCTTGCTGTCAGAGGTGATATCCACCTCCATACTCTTGGTCTTTTGGAAGAACCTCAAAACGCGGCTCTGCTGGTTGGCTTGGGCCCCCGAAGGAGATGCTTTACACTGGAGGTGGTTGGTGGAGTTATGAAAAAGATAACTCACCTCCTTATCACTCGTGTACCTGGTTCTTAGTTTTATCTAATTTCTGTTCATTTTAATGTTTTTGTTTTTATGCTTTTTATTGTATTGTAAGCTGTCTGGTCACTTTGAATAGTGAGCTAGGCAGCAGAGAAATTTGATAAATAAATCAAGTTTGACATGCCTGCCTTAGAGTATCTTGGTTGCATCTTCCTGTCTTTCAAAAATGCCCAAATGAACTTACCAAGTTAATAATCGGATGAGAATCAAAATCAAACATTGGAAGATGAAGCATTAGCTGGTTACTGTCTATCTTTATTTCATGGAAACATTTCTGGCACACCAAGAGCTCTTGTAAACGGATGGTATACAGATGAGTCAATCTTTCAACCTTCAACAAATGAAAAGTGAGAAGAACCAAAATGGAAACAATTTTATTATTATTATTATTTTATTGCTTTCTCAGAAATGTGATTTTGTACCAGTCTTTCCTAATTTGATAATAACCACATGCTAGAACTGTGAATCCAAGAACCTCGTTCTGTCATGTATGCAGAAGGCTCAGGTCTATCTAGAGCAGTGGTTCTCAACCTGTGGGTTGGAACCCCATTTGGGGTCGAACGACCATTTCATGGGGGTCGCCAAACAATGCAGTCCGCCATTTTTTCCCCCTTTTCCTTAGCTGTGCTACTCCCTTTTACTCTATTGGTTTTTGAAAGCCAATAGAATAGACTCTCTTGAATAGAGTCTAATTCTATTGGCTTTCAAAAGCCAATAGGAATTGTCCAGGCTGTCTCTGCCCTGCTGAGCCCGACAAAAGTCCCATTCTGCAAACGGTGCTGCACCAGTTGAGTAGTCCTCGACTTACGACCGGTTGAGTAGTCCTCTACTTACGACCAGTTGGGGTCACGGCATTAAAAAGGTTGAGAACCACTGATCTAGAGGGCAAGAGCTTAGAGCAGGCTATATAGGTAGTCCTTGCTTTATGATCACAATTGGGACCAGAATTTCTGTTGCTAAGCAAGGTGGTTGTTAAGTGAGTTGTGCCCAATTTTATAAACTTTTTTTGCCACAATAAGATCACTCCAGTTGTTAAAAGAATTCAGCTTCCCCCATTGACTTTGCCTATCAGAAGCCAGCTGGGAAGGTCGCAAATGGTGATCACATGACCCTGGGATACTGCAACCATCATAAATGCAAGCCAATTGCCAATCACCCAAATTTTGATCACATGACCAGAGGGGAATATCGTGATGGTCATAAGTGTGAGGACTGGTCATAAGTCACTTTTTTCAGTTGCTAAACAAATGGTTGTTAAGTCAAGGACTGTACCTACCAATACAGATACAATACTACACAGTTTGACACATAGATTCTATGTCAGCGGTTCTCAACGTTTGTGTGACGGCGACCCCCGTCACACAAACGTTATGCGCATGCGCGGCGCGGCGCGCATGGGGGTGGGGCCCCTGCGCGCGGTGCGCATGCGCGGTGCCGCCCCCCGCGCGCAGCGCGCATGCGCGGGGGCGGGCCCCCGCACGCGCGGTGCGCATGCGCGGCGCTGCCCCCCGGAGGCACAGCGCCGCCCCATGCGCGGCACGCATGCGCGGCGGCGCCCCCCAGAGGCGCGCCGGCGCCCCACGTGTGGCGCGCATGCGTGGCGCCGCCCCCCGGAGGCGCGGCGCCGCCCCCACGTGCGGCGCCCGTGCGCGGCACCGCCCCCCCGGAGGCGCAGCGCGCCCCCGGAGGCGACAAAATGGCGGATCGCCGCGTTTGGCGACCCCACAAAAGAGGTCGATCGACCCCAAATGGGGTCGCGACCCATAGGTTGAGAACCACTGTTCTATGTGGTTCCTATCATTGTGAGACCATCTAATGCAATGCTCTACTATGTCCAACTTACTGATGTCCAGACAGTTAGAATTTTAGTTCCCATAATTCCCTCCCACACCAAAAAAAACTTGGCCAAATTAAATAATATGCAACAGAGATCACTGCTACATTGAACAGAGAGGAATAGGGGGAAAAAATAATTACGATCATTTAATTAGTTCTTTTTTCTCTTCTGCTGTCTCTTAAATATATAATCATTCTCTTAAATATACTGCTCAAAAAAATAAAGGGAACACAAATGTATAGGATCCTATACGTTTGTGTTCCCTTTATTTTTTTGAGCAGTATATATAATCATTAAGTTGGCAGAGAATCATCTTTACTCTTCTAGGACATCAGTAGACGAAGCAGGATTCCACATTTCCCATAATACTGTTTTCCATTCAAGCTTCCATTTAAAACTCAGAGCCAAACTACGTTACACTAATAACATTGGATGCTCAGACAGCCACCACAGCAAATAGGAATGCAGAGTAGTCAAAGTGTGAAGTCCAGCAATTGGGCTTTTCTTAAAGCAGATTACAATTAATTAACTCCTCATGCTTCTATAAAACCACAGTGATAAAAGTATTTTTTCATCTTTATAAAAGTAGGATTTTACCAGGTCTGTGTTTGTGATTTGGTCTTTAAGTAGGTTCCAGATTTTGTAATAGACTTCTGAAGCATCGTGGCGAACAAACACTAGAAGAAACAATAAGCCACAATTTAGCATAGGGGATTTTACATTATATTCTTCCATTTTCCAAATCCCTAGATATTTTTTAACCCATTCTGGACTCCTAATAAACCCAGTAAGTCCATTTGCAGAGTTTTGCCTTCCCCAGCTAACACTATTTGCTTTCCAATCCCTAAAGGTTATGCCATCCAAATGGTATCCAAGAGGCTCCAGGTCTTCCTTACATCTCACGCCGTGACGAGAAAGGCAGCAGATAAGATCGAAAGGGCGCACAGACTTCCCCTTGGCCTGCTGCATACTTTCTAACAGCAGAAGCATTTGGTAAGGGACACTGGCCTTCTGTTCTGCCGCTCCAAATGGTACTTTAATCCTGCAGTGAAAAGAATCAAAATGTGATTGTCTTTCACAGTCAGGAAAAACTGAGCTCATACTTGAAGGCCAGGTCCTTAAAAAGAAATAAAAACCTAACACATTTACTATATTGTACAGACAGGAAGGCCTGGAGGAACGTTGTCCATGGGGTCACGATGGGTCGGACACGATTTTGCAACTAACAACAACAACAACAACAACAACAACAGAGATTGCAGTTTTGCCATCACCATAAAGGAAGGAGGCCAACGATTTAAATGTGGCTTTAAAACTTCAATATAGAAATTTAAAGCTTTATTATTTTTATAAAAATAAAACATTATTTGTGTAAATAATACATGTTTTATTAAATAATAATGCATTGCTGTTGCACACCTGGTTTAAAAGAGTCACACTAGCTTCATGGTTCCAGTTAATCATAATAGTAGCCACAAGTGAAGTAGGAAATGTTGAAATTATTCTATGGTTTTACAACAATCCTGTAAAGGAATGTTCATTTTTTTCATTCTGCAAATGGGGAGGCTGGATTGAAAGAGGTGGCTTGCCTAAACATTTACCCAGAGAAATTGTTAGAAGAAGAGATAAGAACAGGCATTTCCTATTTTCAGTTCGCAACTGAAAAATATAGAAGCAACTTACTACCGATAGTCCTTGACTTATGACCGCAATTGAGCCTGGCAATTACAGTCCTATTTATGACAGTCATAAAGCAGGTCACCACATAACTGAACCCACTTTTACGATTTTTTTCACAGCAGTCGTTAAGCAAATACCATGGTCGTTAAGAGATTCCATTATACCAAAGAGTGTTTTTTTGCCAGAAATTAGAAGTAAATACAAGAAACTGACAAAAAATGTTGAAAATTGCAATCATGTCACTGTGAGATGCTGCAAATGTGGTTCAGTCACATGACCATGGGGAGAGGTAACATCAGAACTTTGAAAGCAAATAGTAAATAGTTGGAGGGCCAGTTGTAATTTCAACAGGTTGCTAGGCAACTAATCATAAGTTAACTACAAGTAGTCCTTGACTTACAACCACAATTGAGCCCAAAATTTCAGTTATTAAATGAGACATTTATTAAGTGAAATTTGCCCCATTTTATGACCTTTCTTACCCAAGTAGTTAAGTGAATCACTGCAATTGCTAAGTTAATGACACAGTTGTTAAATCAATCTAGCTTCCCTGTTGACTTTGCTTATCAGAAGGTTGCAAAAACTGATCACGTGGCCCCAGGACACTGAAACCATCATAAATATAAACCAGTTACCAAATGTCTGAATTTTGATCACATGACTCAGGGATATTACAACCGTCATTAAGTATGAAAAACTGTCATAAGTCATTTTTTTCCAATGCTGTTGTAACTCTGAACTGTCACTAAATGAACTGTTGTAAGTCAAGGACTGCTTGTACCTGCACCATCTTTGAGGTTGTTTGTTTCAACTTCCCAGTTAGTCCTGCAAGATAGTCCAGACAAGAAGCACAAGCTTCTATCTTTATTGTAAGTTACATTACATTAACTGAAGCTTGCAAGATTGAATGAATTTCTCTCCTCCGTTCCTTTTACTCTTTGGAAAATTGGGGAGGGTCCCTTCTGAAACATTTCCCTCTCCCTTCTGTGGGCTGAGATGTCTTTTCCATGCTGGTTGACCAGTCTGTAGCTTTCCTTCCTGTCTCCCAAGGTCATTCCCACAAACCAATGCAATCCCAGTCTAAGCGAGGGGCAGTTTCTTATCCAAACACTAACCAGCCCAATCTTGCTTAGCTTCTCCAAAACTCGCCATGCTTTTCTAGCTACTGATGTTGGAAAAGGAACACTCTTTAGATTGAGGACAAATTAACTATATTCTCTGAGCACGACTCACCTCCGAAGTATCGTAGTGAAGTATCTGTTCATTAAGAAGCTTTGAAGCAATGAGTTGATGCAACAGCTCAATCCAATGTTGTATAAGCCAACAGCACCTGAAAGACCCAAAACCAGAATGAGCAGCTTGGACAAAAAGGAAGGAGAAAGATATTGCAGATATCTAATGCTACCTGCTTTTTCAGAGAGACTACAGGACACCTATAGCAATATGAAGCTTATACTTGAAGGAGAAAAGTGTGCAGGACTTTCCCATTTAGAGGAAGGAGCACTGAATTCAAAATTATTTTCATTAGTTTTCTGGTAAATGTAATCCCTTCCACAACCTATGCCAGTGGTGGCGAACCTATGGCATGGATGCCAGAGGCGGCACTCGGAGTCCTCTCTGTGGGCACACGTGCTGTTGCCCCAGCTTCGCCTGCCCCCACAACTCCTCCTCTCCAGCAGCCCCCCTGAAGATAGTCGCCCCTGAACGTGCAAGGACATGGCAGCCAGGCAGCATAGACAAGACTCTGCCCTCACACCCCATCATGCACAGTTGATGCTGCAGAGCGGAGGCAGAAGGTGTGACCGCCATAGCACTGCTGGGCTGCCTGGGCGATCTGTGGCGGACCTTGGAGGCGGTGACTGGCCCTGCGGGGCCGGGGCAGGGGGTAGAGCGGGGGCGGGGCCAGTTTTTGGGCACTTGGTCTCTAAAAGGTTCGCCATCACTGACCTATGCTATTTTCAAGTCTTTTGCCACTGGAGTTTCAATATAACTTTTTCCAAGCGCCAGAAAGAGAAATATGAAATCCCCAGAGTAAGAGTTCCAGCTTATAAAATTATAATGCTATAAAATCTGGTATCCTGCTAAAACTCTATTATAGTAATTATAATTCAATCCTTTTGTTACGAAGGATTGAATGAAAAATTATGTATGGTCCTCCTTATCTAAGGAGTTGAAGTAATAATAGGCAACCATAGAGGAAAATGATGACAGGCAATAGAAATTGGCCATGAAAACTTATGCCCCCATTCCCGGCATCCAGACCACTGTAACACACTATACTTAGGGCTGTCCTTAAAGACTATTCCAAAATTGCAACTAGTTACAGTAGCTGCACACTTATAGGCTCCAACACTGGAAGCAGGTTACACCAGCTTTGTGGAGTCCAAATTGGTTTTCAGTTGGATTCCAGGTCCAATTAAAGGTGCTGGTTTGAGCTGTAAATAAAGCCCTTCATGGTTTAGCATCCAGATACATTCTGGATTGTCTTTTGCAGCCAGCTGTAGTCCAGCCAATTGGACCTAGTATGGAGGCTATCAAGCTGGCTGCCTCTTCATTGCTTTTTCACAAGCTCCTGAAGACCGGATTTTTCCAGGCAGCTGTTCTCTAATTTGATTCTCCTTGCCATCTTTTATTTTCTCCCTTCTCTAGTAGCATTCTTGTTTTATTTCTTTTCCTATGGAGCTTGTTCTATATTGTATTTTGCTATGAGACATGCCAATAGGGTTCTTTCTGAAAGGAGCAGCGTACACAAATAAAAAGTCAGATCAATAAATAAAGCACAAATCAAAGACGACCCAAGTACCGTTTCTTGAGTCTGCCATTCCAATGATTTCTTCAAACTGCTTGCTAATCTTTTCCAAATTCTTGTTGTTTTCTTTCTTGTTGTTTTCTTTGTCTTCTTCTTCTTCTTCTGGTGCCAGAATCTGATAACCATACAGTTTGGGAGATCTTTTTTCCTTGGGATGTCCAGATTTCTGACCCATCAAGGTTGCTGTGTACAAAACACACAATAAACTAGTTACAGTACCTGAAACTCTGACTTCTTCAGTAAAGCAGGTGTACACAAATGAGGGCTTAGCAGCAAAGCCTGACCCACTTAGTAGTACTCAGCTCCAGATATTTGATAGGTTTTCAGTTACAAAACTACTGAATAATTTAAATGGGAAAAGGACAGCCAGTCTTGGTCTAGTACAGTGGTTCTCAACCTGTGGGTCGGGACCCCATTTGGGGTCGAACGACCATTTCACGGGGGTCGCCAAACAACGCAGTTCGCCATTTTTTGCCCCTTTTCCTTCGCTGTGCTACTCCCTTTTATTCTATTCCAACAGGAATTGTCCAGGCTGTCTCTGCCCTGCTGAGCCCACCAAAAGTCCCATTCTGCAAACGGTGCTGCACCAGTTGAGTAGTCCTTGACTTATGACTGGTTGAGTAGTCCTCGACTTACGACCGGTTGGGGGTCGCAGCATTAAAAAGGTTGAGAACCACTGGTCTAGTAGTTAAGGCACCAGGCTAAAAACTGGGAGACTGTGAGTTCCAATCCCACCTTACGCAATGAAAGCAGCCGGGTGACCTTGGGCAATCTCTCTCTCTCTTAGCCCAACCAACCTCACAGGGTTGTTTTTGTGAGAAAAATAGGAGGAGGAAAGAGTATTGTATACGATTGTTGTCTTGACTCTAAAAAATAGTAAAGGTAGGGTATAAATAGTATAAAATAAAATAAAAAAAAATAATAAAACCTGTAAAGGTCTTCCCTACCCATCAGTCTTCTACATCAGGGGTGGGGAACAATGGCCCTTTTATGACTTGTGGACTTCAACTCCCAGAATTCCTGAGCCAACTTTCCTCAGATGACTGTATGCTTTCTTTTCTGAAAATAAGAGATTCCAACAGCCTGATATTCCAATTCACAGGCACACCCAAGTCAACTTTACAACACAAATTAATTAAAATATATTAAATATAATAAATCAATATAAATCAATTCATTAATGTTCAAATTATGGGGAAATTATCAGAGTTGTGTGATGTGGTTGTTAAAAGGTATCAGACTGGTCCTAAGGACACAAAGGTCCTAGTCTACTCTCACCCATAGAAATTATTTGGGGACAGTTTTTCCTCAGACCAGCTTACGTCACAAGGTTGTTGTTTTTTAAAAAAAAAATTATTGGTTTTTTTACAATAACAATCTCCAATGCCTGGTTTACAGTGTGTTGTCTTGATTTATATATTTGGAAAAAAAATTAATTAACAGTCAATAATGATTGATCTTGATAATTACATAATTAGTATATTAATTAATATTATATTTCTTTGATCTTCCCTTCTCCCAGTTGTATTCTCCTTCTTCAACCTTAAACAAATATAATTCTTAATATTTTTAATGTATGATTAACTAGATTTTTTCATATTTGTACAGATAATGATAACATCTATGTATAACTTTTTAATCAGCTTATATTATTCTTATAAAAATCATCTCATTAGTTCACCCTGCATCCTATTTTCGTGGTTTTTGTTTAAGCTTAATTTCCTCTTTATATTCAATCCATTCTTATCAGTTATGATTTTCTCAATGCTAGTCATCTAAATATTCAAATTTTTCCATTTCAGTATACCATCCCAATATTTTCATATTTCATGCAAAAATACCGTACTTATCTATCTTATAGCACCTGCCTATAACATTCTTTCTGATCAGCTTATATTTCACTTATGTTTATAAAAGTTACATTATCCCAATATTTTTACATTTCATATATTGTAAAACATACTATACTACCTAAATCTCTTATCCCTCTTGTTATAGGGCCCCTTTATGTTCAAAGTTCTCTATTCTTTTAACCATATTCAAACAAGTGTTTGCTGATATAATACTCCAACTGGTAGGGTGAGTCAAGTCTCTTGAATCTGTCTCTAGCCTTCTTCTTCTGTCGAACTGCTTTCCAAGTTGGTGTATTCTGCTTGCTCGGCAGTTCCTGTATTTTTGTAAGTATTGTTGGGAATAAAGAAGATAAAATAGGTAAAATATATACTTTCTGTCGCCCAAACTCTGATGATTCTCCTGGGAATTCTATAGTCCATTCTATTTTTGTTGTTATATCAAAGTCTTGTAGATTTTTTCCTATTTGTATTAAATTGTAGTTCTTTTCATTTGTAGCATCATTGATTTGACCATGTTCTTCTAATTTGTGTTGTGTTATCTGATTTGTTTATTCCTTCGTCATCATTTTCTGAGTGTTTTTTGATTGTAGATTTAGGTTAGAAATGTGCTTATTTATGTCGTCAAAGTTGGTTTTGATTTCCTCGTGGTTTAAATCTATTGTCATTTGTATCTGTTGTAACATTGTGTACATTTCCTCTTGAAAAGTATTTGTCTTGCCTTGAAATGTTGCTTCTGGAGATCTTTGATGTTCCAGGCTAAGTCCTTCAGGGGTAAATATTGAATGTGGTGGTCGACATTTTTTGATAGATATACGATATTCATGTTGTCTCCCCCCCTTCAAATAATCTTTCATCAATATTTTAGTCTCTATAATTAGTAATACAGGCAATATTTCTGTAACAGTTTTTTTTATTCAGAGATCAATTATTAATCAGTCAAAGTTGCAATTCAGTATGTTTAGCCACCTTAAGTCCTTCCTGTAAATTCTCCTCTAAAAGATTAGCCAAAAGCCTAAGCTTTTCTTATTTTATAAACAATTCTTAGATTTAGACAACAGTCCAGGTATTTTTTTTTCAAACACTTTTTAATCTTATAGCTGGCCTAGCTCTTTCTGTTCCCAAATGTCTTCTTAAAAGTTATTTAAAATTCAAGGTAACAGATTATTCTTTGTTTCTGGGCATCCTGCCAATTTCTGAGTCATTATTGTTAATGTTCTGTGCTCTGATTCTCCACTAGGTGTCAATAGTTGTTTATTTTCCAGTTTTTTCAGACAAAAAGTTATTATTGTTATATATTTTTTATAATTTTATCAAAATCCTTTAGGGTATAGTCTTAACAGGTTTTTTTTAGTTTCTAGATTTTTCCAGACTGTAGAATTTTAAATTTCATTTCAATATATTTCTTCCCCTTAGTATTAATTCGCCGCTTCCCTCTGTGAGGGAGTGGGGATATAGTCCCTTCCCTTCACTTTTGGAGGTTTTATTGCTTTGGGGGTCTTTCCCAAGGATTCGGTTAAAAGATAGAAGAGAGAAGATCGATGCTCTCACCAGTTCCAAGCACACTGTTCACTAATGTTCTGGTTCATGCTCTTGGACTTTGGCTGCATATAGCTTGGGCTAGACGCTAATGTACAGCTAGCCTTTCTCCTGTCAGGTCAAGGGCTTCCCTAGATCGAATGAAACAACCGCTGCCATTTCATGATTAACAGAGTGCCCCTTCTTCACGGTCACCTCTTCAGGGAAACTTCAGACCCATTTAGGGTCCCCCTGGCAGGGCGAAACTGGCTATGGGGAGCGGAGCGCCGCTATCCCATGGTCGTGCGCTGTGGAGCAAAACCGGAAGTCCTCTCACAGAGTTGTTGTTTGGGGAGGAAATAGGAAGAGTGTGATCTATGTATACGCCAGAAAGAAAGGCAAGATAACAGTCTAAGAAAGAAGCAAGGGAAGGGGATGAACTCATCAGATCCAATCTCAATTCTCAGTCAAGGAAAGATATTTACGAGCAGAAAGAAGAAATGATTTAAGTAAAAATACAAAGAGCCTGGGAAAAGGTCTTTCAATAAGAAGAGAAGAGGACACAACAGTATTCCAGTCTTCAAAAGAAATCTAAAGACAAAGCAGACATGATAGGAAAGAAGAGCAGTCACATATAGGTGGTCCTTGATTCACGATAGTCCCCGTAAAAGGTACTTACGACCCAATTTCAAAGTTAAGATGGCCGTGCATGCGCACACACACACACACATCTGAGGTCACATGTTCACATTCTGGGCACTTAGCAACTAGCTCATTTTTATGGCCTTTTGGAGCATCCCAGTGACAAGACTGCTATTTTTGACATTTTTTATCGATTTCTGGCACTTACTTCCAGTTTCTGCCAAAAAACATCTATTGGGTATAATGGATTGGCTTAAAAATTGCTACATTCACTTAACAACTGCAAAAAAATGTCAGAAAATCATGTCCAGTCACATGGTGACTCACTTAACAACCACGACTTATGACTATAATTCCAGGCTCAATTACAATCGTAAGTGGAGAACTACCTGTAATTCACTTTTTTTAACTGAAATGGCGCAGCCAGAATGTCACTTTACTATATATAGAAGATACACATATGGAAAGGGTTAAAAAGGGGGGGGGACAGGAGTTTTCATTCTCCAGATGTGCCTGCAAAGTAGAGTAAGAACAGCCCAGGTAATGCCTACTGGTACAAAGCTCCACCTATTTTTTTATGTGTCAAACATGTAATGCACATAAATATGGTCAGAGATTCAGTCACACTATCGTGACTGCTATCTTGACTTTTCTGATCACATCCTACAGATATCCCTGCTTCTCACCCCTTAGCCTTGCTGAAATATCAACGATTTTCATAATCAAGGCAGCTGGAAGAATATTCATATCTCAAGTGTAGCTGGAATAAACCACACAATCCTCAGCCTCTTGATACTGAAAGAAACATGGTGGGCAGCCATTTTCTGCATCATGTTTTCCTCTCGGATTGTGGAATAACAAATGCTATAAAATGGGGGGGAGGGTTGGGGGAAGTAAGAGGCAACCAATGTTAAGTCAAAGGCCCGTTCCTTCCTGGATAAAAGTGGTTTGTTGCTCCTCGTCATGTAGAGACGAACAATCAGAGACACAGAGCATCCAGAGTTAACACCTCTGTCCTATGTTAAGGCATACATGACTTTTCTACATGGTATTACTAATGGAAAAATCATTTTTACATTCTCAACTGCATTCACGAGCATCCACTGATGGTACATGTCTCATAAAACATTTTTAGCATCTCCTTTCTGAAAACCAAGCTAATTTTGTACTAGTTGGATGGAGAACGTGGTTCCTTTCAAAATGCACCCAAATACCTTGCTTCAAAGTCAAAATCTAAACAGAATTACCATACCCAGAAGGAGAGCTTCAACCTACAGAAGATTTGTAAATAAATAGAAAAAAACCAGACTGTTGATATTTATATCTGAGCAAGAATCAAACAAAGCTCTTGATTGGCTCCAAATAGGGTCCCCAAGCCAGGTGTCAAAACCATATATTCAAATCTTGCAGAAAAGCAATAAGATGGAGACCATCTTAGCTCTGGGGGAATGATGTTCCAAAGAGAGGGAGAGAAGGCCCTTTTCCTAAGTCCCTTCAGATGTACATGTAGTCCTCAACTTACAACAGTTGATTTAGTAACTGTTCAAAGTTACGACGACACTGAAAAAAGTGACTTATGACTATTTTTCACACTTATGACTGTTTCAGCACCCCCATCGTCACTTGATCAAAATTCAGATGCTTGACAACTTGGTTCATATGTATGACAGTTGCAGTGTCCCGGGGTCATGTGATCGCCTTTTGCAATCTCCTGACAATCAAAGACAACGGGGAAGCTAGATTCACTTAACAACTGTGTTATAACTTAACAACTGCAGTGATTCACTTAACAAACGGACAAGAAAAGTCGTAAAATGGGGCAAAACTCACTTAACAAATTTCTCACTTAGCAACATAAATTTTAGGTGCAATTGTGGTCGTAAATCAAGAACTATCTGTACTTCCTTGATAGTTGGGACTTGCAACATGTCCTGCCTTTCTACGCTGGTGAGCCAGGTAATTGGGGAAGAGGAGGTCTGCCAAATAACCTGGTCCCAAGCCATGTAAGGTTGTAACTAGCAACCTGAGCTGCATCTAGAAGCAAATTGG